CCGAAATCTCGACAATAAATAAACGGTTTTCAATTTCTTTAAATAGTGTAAACTACTTTATTTTAGCTGCTAAATTTTCGCTACAAAGACATTTTTCCCTGAATTTTGATGCGTTGAATGTATTTTCAATGGATTTTATTTTCACTGATTTATGTCTCCATCAGAAAATAACACAAATGAATTTCAATTGAAAATAATGTAATTTACAATAGTTTTAATAATTTTTATAACAAGTTAGTGCCTTGTTAATATAATTAATAATATGTGCCTTGATAGTAAATAATAGGGTAAAAATGGATTTTAGAAGCAAACAGAAATAACCGTTCAAGGAATAATAAAAATGATAGCGTGCTTGCACATCGTTTTTCCTGTACGCACAATATGATCATTTCATCGTGTGATGTGATTACGGTAACTGACATAGAACACCTACAATGTTTTATCATGACTTACTTCAATATGTTAGCATGTGCAGGAAGGTTGCCATAGACACAAATGATCGGGACAATATACATACTTTGAATTGTTATAAAACATAATTTTATTTGGATTATTTGAGATACAAAAGATATGTACATGTGATCCTGGGGTACAAAACTCATACTCCCATACGTCGGATAGCGCATTTGAACTGCGCATCGTGCAACTACTCAATGCCAGATCAGTACATGTATCAACAGATGAACGTATTACTGGTGTATGCGTTTATTGTCATATTCACATAGTTAATTTTCCATGGTCAGTGATCGCACATAACTCTGTCATACACAAACCAATTATCCATTGAACAATTTGTAAAATCAGGAATAGTACAACGCTTATCAAACTTATTAATGGTAAACATGCATTGGCAGAGGAGAGTAGATTCAAACTACGCCCTCTGCGGTCAAAAAACGAAAACTTTGGAACAGTGTAGATTGAACAGGACATTGGAGTACCTGCTATCGTCGAGTTTAAACAGCAAACATTGAATTCAAAAATACACACTCGGAGAAAAGAAAAATGGATGAAATAATGGATGAAAATCACGATTGGAAAATTTGGCAGTAGAAACTGAACAAAAACACATTTGGCAGTGTGATTCGGCAATTTTAAACACGTGATTATCCTATGATTATGTGTGACTGTCTTCCAAGAAACTGTTTTGTTTCCTGGGTGTTGAAATCTGGCTATTAATGGAAGTAATGAATCAATTCACAATGAGCTTGAACGCGTTACTGAATGTAGCAAACAACTACACTTTGTTTTCAAAACAAAAGAAAAACATGATCCAATATATCTGTGTCGAAAGTTAAAGCCGAACAGTTGTCACGCAGCACGAAGACTAGGCCGCTTTAAATTCTGTAATTAAAAGATAAATCAACAGAATCGAATTTTCAGAGATAAACTTTTCGAAAGAAAGAAAGAAACAAAACAAACAAATACACAAAAGTTGTGCCTTTTAAAGGCAGTCGTTGAAAGATAAAAGAAATGTAATTCGGACAAGAATATAAACAGTGTTTTAGAACTCTTGGCAACGGAATTAACAGCAGACAGAAAACCCGCATTGCATGCAAGGGATATAGAGTTGGAATTTGAAAAAATGAGTTTCATAGGTGGAGAGCGCCTGCATCTGGAACGGCAGTGATTGGAAGTTGATTGAATT